ATGATGACGACGACGATGATGATGATGATGATAAATTACTTCATAATATTGCTTGGGTAGTTTTCAGTGCCATTATTAATAATAGCGATTAGCTGTTAAATTTTTTGATTTACAAGGCGCAGTCGCATCCATCGTCCCCTTAATTTTAACAGCCTTTAAGAAATCATTTTAGATATTGCACCGCCCACTTTTTAATCACCTACGGGACGGAGTATTTAGGCTGGTCACTACTCGATGGTATTAATGCATCGCGTATCATTTTGTTGGTTAGGGCCACCGAAAATACATACATGCAAATTTTGTAGATCATCGCTGAAAGCCCTGCGAGAATGTTTATCTCGGGTGGTACTGTTTACTCATTGAAAAAGAAAGACATAATAAATGAATGATATTCATAGATCATATCAAGGAATAAATAAATTAATATTGTTTGTGACGTGGATGGAGAAAAGAAACAAATGATAAACCGGCCTTACGATACTACCCAACCGATTCATGGCGTTATGATTCCTCTAAGAGGAGGAGGAGAGATTTTTTAAAATGTCAACTGTTCCTCACATAGTAACGATCGGTATGTGAAGTCGTTCTTCCTGTCCAGCTGTGCTGGCCATCCGATTACCACGGTGTTCGGCCGCAGACCCCCAATGCCTGAACCTAGGATGTAGGCGGTAGCAGCTTCTGCAATGTCATGCACTGGAATGACACTGGCAAAGCCGGCGACGTTGGTTCGGTCCATAAGGGCCTTCAGTTCCTGAAAAGCATGTAATATGTAACATCGTTGTAACGATACGCCGCAGGAGCTTCCCGTACGTGCTGAATTTTCTTCGCATGAGTCCTGACGCTGAGTTTGCTGCTGTCCGCTTCAATGAAACTGATCAACAGCGTCAAGCCCCTGCCAGCTTGCAGGTGGCTCGCAAAAGTGAGAAGATCTGGGTCGTCCATTTTGTACTGGGAATTCAGTTTGCACATTAGCAACAGCTGGGGCCTGAAAGACGGCTTCAAACCTGAAGACAACCAGCTCGACTGTAGCCTCGTTCATTTACCGCCAATTCTTGGGGTGCAGTTCGTTTTCGTTCGCTTTCAGCAGGCTGAGTTGCGCGCTGGCCAACGCCAATCCCTGTATACCGTAACCCCACTCCTTCTTGGCTCTAAAAATGCTGCGTCTCTAAGCACACTGGCCCGGTCGATGACGATTCGTTTACCAACCCTTTGTACTGGACGTACTTCGAGATGAACAAGCATGCCGCTATGACCAAGATGGCGTAATACCAGTAGGTGGCAAACATGATGAAGAGGGACAGCACGGCGCCAAACACTGCGATGCCCCAGTGGTAGTAGCGGAACGTCGGCCGCCAGTTCGGAAAGTGCAGCAGCGTCTGCACGGCACAGACGATGTTGATGAAACAGTAACACATGAGGAAGAAGAAGTCCACCACCGGGGCGATGCGGTCGATTGCTCCGATGAGGATCGCCGCCTCGCCGATGAATACGGTAAGCAGTAGAGCGCGAAACGGCTCGTTCCGGGACGTGACCTTGGAGAAAAACGACAGGTGAGGTATCAGGTCGTCCTTGGCAACCGACTGCAGTAGTCGCGGAGCACCTGTAAGCACACGGTGAACGAAAAACGTTCAAGACACGCGAACTGGGAGGAGATTACAGAGCACCGATTGCAGACCGGCTCCGAACGTTGACCCCAAGCAGCCGACGACCATCAGCCAAGGGGTCGGCCAGGAGAACTGGGACGACACCATGGCGCCGCCCAGAGCTTCGCCGTACCTCAATGACGATTATGTAAACGAATGCAACATGATCCATTGACTAATGACTACTTGTCTCGAAGCAGAACGCCCTCGACC